CTTTCGTTTTTATATAAATAATAAAAAAGATTAATTCGCTAATCGTTAGAAAGGAAATTATATTATAGTAAAATACATTTACTTTTACTATCAAAAGGAAAAGAATATACCACCGTATATATTACGTTCTTACAAAAAGTTATTAATTTTAAAATTGAATAATCCATTTGTACGTTCGCGGATAGAGAAGAGCGAAAACGTTTGAATGCGAATACGAAAATGATACTTGTGGCGAATCAAGTTATAATAAAATTATCTTTCAATATTCTTTCATAACGTATATAAATTTAAGTAATTAACGATCTCCGTTCGTTTGAAAATTCAATGTAAATCGTGAACGTAGAGAGCAGAATATAACTTTGATAATAATAATCCGGTAAAAGTTTTCCTTCTCGGTGGCAATCTCATTAGTTTTCATCGTTATGAAAGGAATCTTGTTTCGACGAGTCAGTCGATTCGTATAAAATGGATCGATTGGAAGATTAGAACGATCCGCTAATACTGTAAGCCATCTCTCTCTCTCTCTCTCTCTCTCTCTCTCAAGATGCACCAAGGGAGATGAATTTGGAACTTTCCTAGAGCGGAAGTTTAGCAAAGATACTTGACCGCCGCTTCGAATCTTAGAAGTACATACTTCGTAACATTGTCCCTCCGCTTCTTTAATTTTAGTTATCAAAGTACACTTTCCTTTTTCTAATTTAATAAATAAGCAAAATATCCGAGTAATTCTTGGAATTGTCGTCGAAAGGTAGAAGAAAAAATAAAGAAAAAATAAAGAAAAAATAAAGAAAAAATTCTCGTCTTCTATATATACAAAGATGAAATTGTTTTTCTTAAAGCTTATCTTACGAGGATAATATACTTTCTTCTTTTCCTTATCCTTTTTCCTAACCTCCTCGTAATCGTAAGAACGTTGACGTTAACGCGAAAACTTTCCAAAAGTATCGTTCCCCATTGCCTTTCTTTAACACTTCTCCCTATAGGTAAAGTCCGTGCCTTCGGTAACGCACGAATTTCAAATCGAATAGAACCGAATCGAATCGTTTCATCTCCAAACTTCCTTTCTTACCCTTTCCCGTTCCCGTTCCATTCGATTTCCAATGCATGCAACACCTTCACTATTTTGCAAGAGTTTCTCTTGCGAGCTGAGAAAGTCCGATATCCTATAGGCCTTTTATCTTATTAGCTCTTGGAAAAGTTTCTATGCTTGTGCGTGGTTTGAACGGTAACCATTTTCGAAGGTGCTTTATCTTACGATGAATAAGTGTTTTCTCATTTAATATAAGCTCGTGTATCTGGTATCTTCATTAAAATGCAAAATTCAGTGCAATTGCCTGTTCGTGAGACCAACGAGCCAACATCTTTCTTTTATTCTTCCCCTTTTCGTTTTTTCTTTACGCCCTTTAGGTACCTTCCTACCTACCTACCTACCTACCTACCTACCTACCTACCTACCTACGTTTCAACGCTAAGTGTTCGTAATATTTTTTCACCGGGATACGAGTTTATACGCGCGGCCGAATAAAGCCACTATTTTTATCCACCTCCAACCTTTCTACCTTTTTTTCTTCTCACTTTCTCCCACGGTCGTACCTCTTACGGTTCTTAGAACCGCCGCTCCACTTAGTTTTCGTAGTCAGGATGATAGCGGGGAGAGGGTAGATGGGATAAAAGAATCGCCATTTAACGGGAGAAAAATGTGCTCGACTGATTAAAGAGCTAAAGTAGGATCCATGGAAGAAAGTTTTCTTTGCTTAAGGAAACGTTAAGAAATGATCAACTTATTTTTTCCTATATTTATAGGAGAACTTTTTTTTATTATCGTCATTGTTTAGTATGATTTCTCGTCATTACTGCTATCGTATTTCTTACTATTAGGAGTATTCATTGTAATATTAGGTTTTCATTGTCGATAGAAGTTATTTAGTTGTTAGAAATTCGATTATCTTTCATATTCTTTCAGGTTTCGTTATCTTTTATCTTCTATCTTTGGCGCTACCTTGACGCTACCTTGACGCTACCTTGACGCAACGCTCTTTCTCCTTTCTACCGAGAGAATTAGCCAACAACAAAACGTGAGAAAGTAACTTCAAGGGATGAATCAAGTACGCGAGTTGCATTAATTAACTCGTTTGCCAACGAAATACAGTTTAACTAGTTTCTAACACTTTTTTGTGAAAACGTTATTACATGTTATATGTATATTATTTTCGGTATAACTGAGCACCTCGTTGACACGCCTTCATATAAGAATGTAATATTACTCTTGTATTCAGTTTACATAATGTAAATAAAACGATGAAGTAGATAAAGGAATGCAACGAAACTAGGATCGTAGGGGATACCAACAATTTATCTATTTACCTACATTTATGTACATATATACTTTTATGAACGAAATATTTTATTCTCTTTAGAAAAATGTCTTATTTTATCGTGCATACGTACAGTTCATATTCCTTTCTTTTTTTCTTTTTTCTTTTTTCTTTTCGCTTTTTTTATTTCCATAAAGAAAGAAAGAAAATGGGATAAAAAGGTAAAAAATGCGAAATACGCAATACACATTTCAAAAAAGAAGAGAAAAAAGTATTTACAGTGACCTGAGCATTACAAGAAGTGAAGTTACTTCGATACTTTTCAAAGGAACACGTAATTACGTCCACGTCAAAGGAATTGTTTCAAAATCAAACGTTCGCTTGTGTATGGAAAGCACTGTGTTAAGAATCGAAACATTCGTGGAATTCCATTTAGGCGGGTCATATCGATCGAACGAGGACGTAATTGAAAAACTTTTTGTCTTTGACAACAATAGGTTGTTTCGTCATTACCACTACCATGAATAGCACTGAAAATGTCATCGTAACTACATCGATTCTAGCCCTCTTTCTTTTCCATTTGACTCTCGATATTTTAATATTTGGCTCCATTCTGACATTCTTAAACGCGACGAAATTCCAGAAACGATATCGCAAATTCCGTGCTCTCACGCAACTCGGAGAGTATCAGGGAAGAGAGAGAGAGAGAGAGCGAGAGAGAGAGAATGAGAATCGGTCGATTTCCGATTTATTCAAACGTAATTCCGTCCGGCTGGCATAGTTTCAGATTTGCAGATGAACTCGACTCGTTCTAGCGAAATCTTTATCTTTCTCTCTCCGTTTGATTCTTTATCTCTTAGTGGAATATCGAGGCGCGGGATAAAAATTGGTCGGAAATGTTTCTACAAGCTTCCATCGAGACCAAGCTCGGTCTCGCGGGACTCTCCGATCCATCCTTGTTGAGGGTGAGGAATGAGAGATATAGGAGTACTCGAGGAGAAACGAAACGATATATGAAACACGCTTCGGTTCTAACTTTTTTCAAAGTCCGGTAGAGTCGAATGTGGTGGTAGCTAACGCTAGGAGTCGTTCGAACCTCTCCTGCAATCATCTCGGTAACGTCGCGCCCATAAACGCCGTAAACGCCGTCTCTAGTCTTTGAAACATATTTGAGTCAGGCAATAACCAGGCGGCTGGAACTCGCAACACGTTCGTCCGCAATAAGTTTGGTCATTGCGCCCGGCGATGCGGCGGCCCGCTCGAGGAAATTAAAACTTGTGCAATTCGGTGGGATCCGTAGGCAACAACTCCCAGCAGGCTTATCAGCCCTCTAACCTCTTCGGTGGCTCTACCAAACGAGTAGCACCCACAACGATACGCGAGCAATAATGAGAGAGAAGAGACCTATCTAAACTACGAAGCGTGCTTACCCATGGGTAATCTTCATTTCTAAACTGTTACCAACGCTTTCCACGATATCCCCTATGCAACACCAGTTCCGACTTTTGATCGGTGAAAAATTCTTTCCTTCCCATCTACCCGACCATCCTCGACTTCCATTGCTTATTTCTCCCCTGAGGCATTTCGTTAGAGAAAAGCACCTGTTCGCCAGCCAGACTTTTTCGATGAAATTCTCGAGGGCCGTAAGCGATTTTTCAATTTAATGAGCAACTTATTCCGCTCGATGTTCCGCATTGATGCGAAAACGCGTGAGATCGATCAGCAAAATACGTTTTAACCATCGGCCCCGTTTTTTTCAAAACAAGCTAAACGAGTGGGGGAGGGAATGAGTGAGGTTACGAGTGAGTACGAACAAAAAGAGAGAGAGAGAGAAAGAGAGAAGATAGATTCGATCGATGTGCAGCAATTATCGTCTACGACGACGACGACGATGACGATGACGACGACGACGACGACGACGACGACGACACTGACACAGACATACGATCGTTGCTTTTATCTACGTGCGTTTCACGTCATTTTAATCCTAGCCTTCTCTTTGTATCGACTATTTAGTGAGAGTATATCTTATCGAAGATTTTCATTAATGTTATTTGTCGTAATAATCTAAACCTATATTAAACTTTTACTTTTGTATATAATTTAGAAATAGTTACGCTTTGTCGCTCGATATATAACCGTGTAATTATGTTGAATAAACCAAAAGCTTTGGATTCAGTCAGTCATGTCGATGTGCACGGCGGGTGGTAATATTACCAATTGCACTTTCACCCGACGTAACACCGATTTCGTCTATCATTATGTACATAATTCAAAGCAAACGAGCTTGCACTGTATAAATCTCTATATGTTTGTTCGCGAAATCGGACCATCTATTTAAATCGAGTCACTTGCATAGAATATATATACAGTGACTTTCGGAGTAAAAAGCTCGCTCTTATTTTGTAGTACAAATGTGTAATGGGGGTCATTAAATCATACAAAGTTTGGAAAGAATAAGCGATAAGCGTAGGAGATAGAAAATAAAAAAAAATATTAGCATTCGATGGGGATGTCCTATGGCCTAAAGTACGATCGTACTTAGGAGGAAACACGAGGGTCCGTACTTGGTACGGGCGCTTGCGCTAAAACCTGTCGCGGGAGGGGAAACTCGAAGAAGGAGAGGAGGTTGCGGAGGGGTGGAAGCTTCTGCGGAAAACGGAGAATCTACGGGAGTCAGTGCAATTCGCGTCGCGACGCTCTTCGTTCCCTCGATCCGTACTCAAAATACGAGAAAAGCTTTCCTCGTTTTTGCTCCTATTTTCATTCCATTTTCCAACAAACATTTCTACTTTTGTCGGAGTATGCCGCGAGTGTTTTATCAAAAAGTTCGACGTTTGTTAATTCGATCCTTGTTATGTCAACTTATTTCTACTAGAAATCTTATCGTGACAAATGACTAGAAATGTGCGTGATAAATCTTTATGTTTAACGTACGATCAATTTTTCTTTCCCTTTTGGAAGAAGAATAAAAATAAAATGAGATTACCGGACATATAATTTGAATCATCAAACAGAACGATATTTATCTTTCCTTTCGGTTGCACGTAGCGTACGCAAGTTCAATATTATTGGAAGAACTGCTACGACAAACTACTCGAAGTAAATTTATAAGACACGTACTTTCCATCTACCCTCCACAGTCCTTTTCCTCTCCACCTTTTCTCTTTGACAGCCTTCTTCTTCTTCTTCTTCTTTTTTTACTCTTTCACCTCGACCCTTGCCTTGGCGTGCTTTAAAAGGCGTGCACCCTTTTTACTTTTCTCCAACTTTTGCTCTCTTTCTTTCTTTCTTTCTTTCTTTCTTTCTTTCTTTCTTTCTTTCTATCCTTCGCTCTCAAGTTTTCGATTAAATTGCATTGAAAGCTCAATTCTTAGCGGGTAATAATAATGATCGGAAGCTCTTACAACAATTATGAATGTAGAAACTTTGCGGGCGAACCTTTGAAAGTTAGTTTCTATTCGACGTCTTGTCCCGTGGTCTATCTTTCTCGCACTTTCTTCCCCTACCTCCCTCTTTCTTCTTGTTAAATCTGATAAACGCGAAGGAGTAATCAAAATGCGTATTTAATCCGCCTAAATCGATCGACGAAATTTCTCGTGTTTACGATGATTCAGCACGCGTCCAAATGAATCTTGAAAATTTACTCATTTTTCAACTTGGTTACGCGCCTTTTATTGATAAACAGTGTAATATTTAAGTAAAACGTGTACGTTCATTAAAAATCGAAATATTATGAAATCATATTTACGCATGGAAGACGATCGAATGGAAAACAATAACAGCATGTGAATGGTCAACCCTTTTTGCATTAATAAACGTCCCTCGCATTGTGATTGAAAAGAGTGTTTATCGACAAACTTTGATTTGGCTGTCCGCGTAAATACGAGCTTTTCTGAATTATTGTTAATCCTTCTCTGTTAATCAATTTACGAGGACCTATCTTACATCTCTATCGAATGTCTCCGAGGAGAACTTTGGATATAATTAAAGGGTAAGTTCTTGCTATTTGTTAAGAATTTCATCTGAAATTGAATTATTTTATCTCAAACTCTCTCCCTCTCCCTCTCCCTCTCTCTTTCTCTACCATTCTATAGTTTTTTTACTCAAAAGTTTAGTTTGCATAATTGTCTAGTATCTTGCGGATGGACAACGTACAAACGATTAACTTTCCAAAGTTGAACATTTTTATTCTCGACTACATCGATCGATCATCCTTTCTCTCTCTCTCTCTCTCTCTCTCTCTCTCTCTCTCTCTTTCTCTTTTATAATAGAATCAAAGTTTTATTAAAATACTTCAACCCTTTGGAGAATAAGATGACAAAGACAACGTTCTTTTTTATTTTTTTCTTCTTGATTAAGAACAAAAACCATACCTATTTATTAATCATGCGTCTTACTTGACTTATATTAACTAATTAATAGAAATAATAGTAAAATATCAAGATATCCCTTTAATTCCCTTTTCGCGATCTTAATTCTCGCTGGTAATTCGCAGTCATATTTCATGTCGTTAGAAAGATACGGTAATGATGGTAAATTATCCGTAAAATTGCAATCGTTAGCTTGATGTTTGCCTTCTTTAATAAGATATTGTATTAAAGTATTTTGTTAAATTTTGATTTTCTTCGAGTGCCGTTATAAATACATCGATGTACACTTAAAGAGTAAATGAGTTGGAATGAAATCGAGGGAAAAGCTTTCATTAACGTCATGTGCCATTTCGCGTGTCGATAATCTCTAGAGCCGTTGCGATTTTAATGCAATCGACCAATACCGAAAAAAAAACCTACATTGTGTAAATGAAGTGGGAGATACGCTCGATAATTATAGACGATAATTGTTCCAGACTCAAATACGAATAATTATATATACTCTCTCTGCTAGGAACTAGTTTCAACCACATTGAGAACTATATCACACGTATTAGTCTTATGTAATTATATACGAAACATCGATTTACCGATAATTAGCGGTAACTTCATTAAAGTATCTTCATTAAATGAAAGAAAAAAAAAAGCAAAAAACATTAATGAGAATCGTAAACTAATTTAATGTAATACGTAATTTTACATGTCCCAAGCCCCAGATAAAGGGGAGGGTTCGAGGGCGAGGCTAGCAACCTACCCTCGGTAAAAAAATAATCGCTTCCAGAACTAACAAAATAGCCTCTTTAGGTTGTTCAATTAGGGATAACAGGACAAAGTCCTAAGAAGAAGAAGAAATTCAAGAATCAATGTGTAAAAACTATAGACGAAATTGTTCAACGCTAACATCGAACGAACTTTTGTTTTATATAAACGCGAAACATAGGAAATAAATACAATTGATTGTAGTGTGTGTCGCTTAATGCTCGCTACCCGTGCGCAATTTCATGCGTTAACCGTGACAGAGTGTATCGTAGAGCGCTTTTATCCAACTAACTCGACATAACGAGAAATTAGCTGTGAAATAGGCTCTAGTTGAGCCCTGCCTGACTTTATAATTGGATGCATCGGTTAAAAACCGCGACAAGAGAGGAAGAGAGAGAGAGAGAGAGAGAAACAGAAGTCACGTACACGCGTTTTTCTTACCAATTATTAGAGTTAGTTATATACATAACCGAGGAAAGGGATGATCGATGGGCAAGGTGGTTCCCACTTTTCTTTTACTCATGTAACACCCTTAAACGTATTAAATCACTTTCAAGAGATGGAAGAAACGATCCCTAATCGAAGGCCACTTCGTAAAATAATTTCCGAACAAAAGTCCACGAAGACGGAAATATACTTTAATGATTTAATGAATGATTTTTTAATCAAAGATTTTGATCGAGCAAAGAACAAAGAGTCTTCATTTTTTATTTATTATTATTAAACAATTTTCAAACGATTTGAGACAATTTTTACAAGGTAGTTGGTGATAAACTATTACTAAAGTTAATTAACGAGGAACCAATTTGTAAGAACCATTCTTCACTGATTGCAAGTAAATTACAGCATGTTCCTTTTATACCTATTGTAACGTATTTCATAATATATTCCTATATTTGATATATTATTTGATATATTTATTATATATTTTACCGATATATAGTATAATAGGTAAAAAAAATGGTACGAACATGTTATTTAATGTATGAAATAACTTTTAACAGACTGCAAAGAGTAAATTCCAAAGTATTGAATAAATGTTGAAAAGTCAATATGCTACGTGAGGTAAGCGAAAAAAGAAGAAGAATACATTTTTCAACAAATTATTTCTTCTTGTTGCAGCAGTGATAAACTTGTTATCATTTTTATACGAGGAAATACTATTTCCTTTTTATTATTTGTGAGTGTTTAATAAGCATAACGTTGATAAACAAGTTTAAGGGAATTTCTGCAAGCAAAAAATTTGTTTGTGCGATTACAAGTTTCTCGTATGCAATTGGTTTGTCACTCTCTTTGTTTCTCTCTTTGTTTCTCTCTTTAATTCTCTCTTCCATTTATATTACATAGATATACTTCCTTTATTGTAATGCATTCGATGATGTGAGCAAACTATACCTAGGGTCAATTCAGAAACAGTAAACGACGCTTAAGTTTTGGAGTGCATTGCAACCTCCTGACCATAACACTTTCCAAATGGAGCACGATTACCAGTGTTATGCTACAGGCGTATCTCAGTGGTTTAGTATAATCGCTATTTTTATGACTAGAAATATTGCGAATTTCAATTTAATTGGATTTCTTCGGAATGTATAAACTTGAACATTATCGCGATTTGCAGAAAATGATAGGAAAAAAGATAAGATCGGCGATTAAAGTGGTGTTGGTGGTGGTGGCGGTGGTGGTGGCGGCACCCGTATAACGAAGTTTAACTCAAACGCAATATACAAATTTCCGTTTATTATTATATATCATTGCAATTCGATATTTCCGTGATATTACTACGATGTAAAATCTGTCGATACATTAACGGTCCAATCAACTCTTACCAATGCACTTTGTGAATATCAATGCGAGCGAGAATGTAAGCCAAACCAGTCTTGCAGCAAAACAGTCAGGTACATGACCGCCTATTGCCTGTCAATCCATGTCATTGCGTCTGTAACGACAGGGTTTGTCCTTTGTGAAGGACAACGCAACCGTGTGGTTTAACGCTAGACCGCGTTGATGTCAATTAAAGTTAAGCAGCTGCAAGAGATTGACTGGACTTGGTCAAACGAAATCGATTAAAACAATACGTATATAATAATTGCGTATGACAAATGATGAGAAAGCTAAATAAAGTAGAAAATTACACATTTTTTCAATATTTATGAAATTCTTGAAAGACAACGAAATTGGAGGTAAAATTGGAGGTAAAATTGGAGGAAATTTGACGTAGATGCTCTCATTTCGATGAGAACATACATGGGTAAAAGTTAAATCTTGTGCTCTTTGGCAAATAAATTAGACGATCCGATAAATTCGTGAAAACTTAAAGCTATTTATCCTCGGTGTAACATTTCCAATTGGATTTACGATCGAATAGAAATATATCGTAGGTAATTATCCTGTCGAAATACTGCCGATAGAATGCGTAACATTTTTGTCCGTCGTAAAGTTCTTAACTACGATTAAAGTAGTTATATTATTTGTAATGATAAATGTAAATTGTTAGAGGATGAAATTAATTAGACGAAGCTCGTCAATCAAATCGTTTGCAGTTGGTAACGAGCACGCAACGGGTTATTGATCGATATACGGTAAAGTAAAATATTCATTTGTTGTAACGTAACGGATACAAGTGCGCGTATACGTTCACGCGTTTGAATAATTCTCTCACGGTTTTGGTCGGAGCTTAACGTACGTCGATCGCACGTAAATCACGAAAATCGTAGGTTTCGATTTTTCCCGTTATTTCGATAACGAAATCCATGGAGTTACGAGTATACGAAGATGAGAAAAGAAGAGAAGAAATGTAGGGATAGAAGGACAGTGGTGGTTCGATCCTCTCTCGTGGAAATTCGCGAAATAGGGCTGGGAACGAAGGGGATAGGAAGGAGGAGAAACGCGCGCAACACAATACACGAACCTTTCACAGGGCGTCTATAAATTGGTACGCTACGAGGACAATTCAGCGGAGTCGGCTTGCACCGGGTTAATTTAATTTAACCGCAACAGGATTTGCTGCCTGCATTCTCTGTCGTGAGGCTCGTGTTAAAGACGCGTACGTACCATAAATGCTTCAGCTACTTTTTAACTATAGAAAACATTTACAAATAATATGTTATAATATAATGTAATACATTTTGTTGTTGTGGTTGTTGTTGTTGTTGTAAGATCTCTTTGTCGACGTTACAAAATTGTTTCTTATTTACTTATATTATTTCTCCGCAACAATTACTATACAGAAGGGTTTTTTTTCCTCCATAGTAGCTGTTATTAAAACCGTAAATAAGCATTCGCTCTTTCTCGCAAGCTCATGCGCGACTGGCGTTAATTAAACCTACGAATATCTCGACCGTTCTCTTGTAATAACTTACTATTCATTAAGCGCCTAACCACTTAATCTTGTCGTAGCATGAATGGCTACTGTGAATTTTTATGTACAGACCGTCAGCTTCAATGGCCGTTGTTTTCACCCTCAGAATTAAATCGTCGACCCGTGGTAATCGTTTATGCTGCTTTATGGAGAAAAGCGGAGGATGAACCATCCGTAAAGTAGCAGCAGCTTTTTATTTTTCCATAGACATCTTTCGACACAGGTCCAAGTAATTGTTGTTGTTGTTGTTGTTTTTTTTTTTTTTTTTTTTTTTTTTTTGTAACAAACAGAACAAAAAGGAAAAACAAGAAAAAGAAAACCTTGTTCACGGAGAAACGACGGTAATTTCAATATTGGAAAAAGTACGTTCCGAAGTCGAAGTAAATCTTCTCTCGGGATGGTGTGTAAATAAATCCTTTGGCTGTAGTGGGTTACTATTTTGGATTTATTCTATAGAAAAGCATACAGCACAGCGTTTACGTACATATATACCTACAGTACATA